CTCTGCCCCGCTGTGCCAACCAGGCAGAGCGGTGCCTGCCAGCTTGGGGACTCTACAAAGAGCCACCCAGTGCCCTGCTCTGCTTGATATCCCTTTCCCCCAGGGACACCTTCCTCCCTTACCTGATGCAGCCGAGCATCCTCAGCCTCGTAGGTGTAATGGTCCAGGTTGATGCGGTAGAACCCAGGCTCCACCTGGCTGCACTGTCGTCCCACCACGTGGCTGCGGCACTGGCACTGCCCCGTCTCCACAGCGCACCTGATACCCCAGTGGCACCATCAGCCCCGATGCCGGCAGGGACACCCCCCTCACCCCCTGCATCCCCTCAAAGACTCACAGGTTGTTGCGGGCACCTCCCACGTCGCAGTCGCAGGGCCGACAGCCGGGGAGGTCGTGGCTCAGTCCCCAGTGCTCGGGCTGGAGAAGGTAAGGGTGTCAGGGAGCGCCTGGCCGTGGTGCCACAGTCCCAAGCACCGTGCGTGGCCCCTGAGCACCATGCTTGGCTCCCGAACACTGCGCACAGGCCCCAGCACAGCCTCACTCACCAGGCACTGGTCACAGTTGCGCCCGGTCACCAGTCGCTTGCAGAAGCACTTGCCGCTGACAGGGTCGCACTGGCCACCCTCGCCCACCGTGCCACGAGGGTCACACTGGCACCCTGCACAGAGAGCCAGTGGCGTCTGGGGGGGCCAAGCCATGCACTCAACCCCCGTGGGTGCCACCCCCGGTACCTACGCTGGCAGCCCTGCGGGTTGGCGGCACTGAGGCCGAAGAAGCCGGGTTTGCAGCGGTCGCAGCGGGGACCGGCCACATGCTCCTTGCAGCGGCACTGCCCCGCGATCAGCCCCCGCGCAGGGTCGTCAGCACCATCACACAGCCCGCCGTCCAGAGAGCCCTCGGGGTCACAGTCACAGGCTGGGGGTACAGGCAGCGTCAGCACGCCGACCCCTCAGCCCACCCTGCACAGCCCGTCCTGTGCCACGGACCCCCTGGCACCGACCTCGGCACACCGCGGGGTCCCGCAGGTCCTTGCTGGGGTCCTTGTAGTAGAAGGGCTTGCAGAGGTGGCAGCGGCGGCCCATGGTGTTGTGCTGGCAGCCATCACACACGGCCCCGCTGGCGTTCCCCGTGGCCAGGAAGACGGCCATGTCGAAGTGGCACCGCCGCGAGTGCTCGTTGCAGTCGCAGCCTGCGGGGACGGCACCGTGGCACGGCACGCGGCACCCCAACTCCCCGCCCGGCAGGCAGCTCCCCTCTTCCAAACCTCCCCAGCCCTGACTCCCAACCCCGCATCTCCCCAAACTACAGCCTGCTGCACCCCACACCCCCCACAGCCAGTCTGCAGGATGCCAGTCCCCCCCCAAACACACCCCAGCATGCAGCACCCCACAGTCCCTGCCACGGCGCAGCCCGCCAGCCCCGACACCGAGACCCCTGTGCCCGGAGCCGGTGCTGGCACAGGGCACTCACGGCGGCAGGCGTTGGTGCTGGAGCCCTCGGCCGGGCGCCAGGGCAGGTCGTGGTAGAAATCCTCACAGCGCTCGCAGTTCAGCCCCTGCGTGTGGTGCTCGCAGACGCAGCGCCCGTGGATCTGGGGGTGAGCACCCAGCTTAGCATGGCCACCGAGTCCCTCGGCACCCGGTGCCGAGCCAGCGGCCGTGTGGCCTCACCATGCCGGGGACGGAGGATGTTGGGGCGCCAGGTGCTGGGGCGCAGCGGGCAGCGTGGCCGTGGCAGAAGCAGCTCCCACGCAGCACCAGCTCATCCACGGCGTAGTAGTACTTGTGCAGCACCTCCCGCCGCGTGTCCAGCAGGTTGTCCCCCAGCGTGTGCAGCTTGGTGAGGTTCACCCGCAGGTTGGTGACACGCAGCAGGTCTGGGGGGGTGGCACCATCAGCACCTCCCCTGCTGCCCACCTGCCCCACGACCCCGGCACCCCTGGCCACGCACCCTGGATGTCAGGGCTGTAGGGATCCGCCACAGGGATGGAGGGATCCAGCACCTTGAAGATGACCTGGAGGGGGAAGGGGTGGATGAACCCAGACCCCCTGGCCCCCCAGCTCCCCTCCACGTCACCCCAGCCCCACACACCTCCCCATGGCTGGAGGGCTCGATCTCGGAGTAGCGCTGGTCACACAGCACCTCGTCCACCAGTCCCGAGGGCTGACTGGGGACACCGGGGAAGAGCTTGGAGCAGTTGTAGGCGAAGTAGCGGTAAACTTTCCAGCTGCGCCCAAAGTCGGCCGAGCGCTCCACCAGCATGGCAGCGGGACGGAAGGTCTGCGGGACACCCAGTTGAGATGGGGGTCGGTCCCACAGCCCTCACGGGTCCGTCCCGTCCCATCCCACCCCATCACAGGCACCCACGTGCCATGACCCACCTTAAACTTCATGATGAGGTGGGTGAAGTGGAACTCGCCCTCCAGGTCCAGGCGGACGCTGACATGCTCCATGCCTGGTGAGGGGACAGAGGTGCTGGCTGGGGCCAGGAAAGACCCCCCAGCCCCATGGCCACGCAGCTCTGAGGCACACACACGTGTGGACAACCCCGCTGCCACCCCGGCCTCACCATTCTCCGATTGCCACCAGGTCCGCTGGCCGTGGGGGCCGCTCAGGTAGATGACGTTCTCGATGCGGTGGCTCTCGGGCAGGGATGGGTCCCGCGAGTCACAGGTGAAACATTTCTCTGAGTCCTGTGCAGGGGAGCGGCACCATCAGGGATGGGTGGCTGGAAGCTGCACCGGTGCCCGGCCCTGCCGGGGCTGTGCTGGAGCTGTGCCGGGCTATGCCAGGCCTGGTGGGCTCACCTGGAGGTGGCTGACGATGCAGTACTCCTGGGGCCCGTCCAGCCCGCAGGTGGAGGTGGCACTCAGGCGGGGGGCTCGCCCCACCAGCAGGTTCCCGGTGGCTGGGTAGCAGCTGCCACGGGCACAGCC